CCCCCCTCCCCTCTCGACTTTTTGTCACTTTGATGTTCCTCCTCCTCTCTGTGAAGCCTGAAGTTAACTTAAGGGCTAATGATAACCTTCAAGACGCCTGCCATTTGATGTAAGTACGTTTCAAAGTTCTTTTGGCTCATCTGATAATAGCAGAGGCAATTTAAACAATGTGACGATCAATAATTCCTTACACATAATTGCAGCATTAATCTATCGGGCTCGAATCCCTGTTTGATGGAAACTCTAATCCTGCCAGTATTATCAGCATGCCTGTCGAGTCACCTAATCTCTAAAACCTGATCAGGCTATATTTTGATTAATCAGAGGTTGTTTAGTTTACGATTTGCTTGCCAGCGAGTCACCTGCTCTGTTTAAAATCAATCAATCCCACATGCATTCTTTTCAGTTCAACACTGACAAAACTGACAGTTATCAAAAGATATGACATGCAAAGACCTTATACAAGCTGAATAAATATCATTCGTAATCATTTTTGTTTCTCAAGCTTTGAAAAATTAATGATTACTTCACAGGAAGTCACAAGTAAACAAGCAATGTATAATAACTGGATATCGTGAGCAAGAATTTACCCATTATTGCAGAAAACGATTAGTGAAACTTGATTTACCTCCCCAAGTAAGTCTCCTTTTCACTTTACGAAACTAACCGATTTCAATCGTAGAATCCCCCCCCCCCTTTCACACATTAAACCCGATCATATATCTGCGACTAAAATAAATTAAAAACGCTTTGGCGAGAAACACCAACCCTACCACTAAGCTCTAATTATCATTCCACCAACCTGGATGGGTAGCTATGAGCATCAAAACCTATGACCATTGAAGTCATGGAAAAGAATGCTAGCCACTGCACAAAAAGAGATATATTGAACTACAGATCCTTCTTAAGGTTCACCATTAAAACGTTTTTCTGCTATTTTGTTGTTCAAAATTATAACTAACTAGTCACTTCCAATTAAATTCATCTAAGATTTGGAACGGTAGGTCAATCCCTCAACTGAAAACGTCAGCCTAAAGAATTTAGAACACAAATGAGGTAAGACACTGATGTCCTGGCTACATCCTTAACTGCTTTCCAATGGGGTAATTCCTTGCCATAGAAGATAAAAATGATTTAATGTTACAGCAAGGCAAATAGAAGAGTACCTGAGTGACTCAAGTTGATAGACAGACATAAGATAAGCCGACTGAGCGATTGTCATCATTTTGATACTCGTAGCGGTAGGTCTGTCCAGTGTACCCGCCTTGTTAGTCGGTGCCAGAATGGTGCATAGTTGATCCTTCAAGTTCTGCTGGGTCGCCTACAAGGAGAAAAAAAAATAAAGGAGCATTTTCTAAGAGGTCTCAGACATGCATATTACGCTTATCAAAACAGCAGAGAAGTATTGCTACGAAGAGAAAGATGAAAGGTAACCACCACCAGGAGGAGGTATGGTGAGTGAGTAGATCATTCCTAACAGGAGATTATTGATCTAATATATATATGTTCATCATCAAATCAATAGAAGTGATCAATCGATTATACCTCGTCACCACCCCATAACCCAAAAGGACTCCAAACTGAATGAAAATCAAAATCTGTACCCTGCGGGGGAACGATGGGAGACTTATTAAGCACCCTGGTATAGTTTGAAGACTTCGGAAGTGCGGATGGTGCAATATTAATCGATAAAGGCATTGGTAAGCCTAGAAGTAAGCTTGTCTACTGAATTATACAAAGTTTATCAAGTTCATAAGTCAATTATCGATTTTAATGATGCGATCTTTAAACTAGGCCTATTTGACACGGATTAGTGAGCATGTTGTGGGAATAGTAGGCCAATAACAAAATTAAACAAAATTGTAAAGACGATGCCAAATCAAAATGATAAAACCCCCAAAAAACGCTTTAAAATCAACTTATAGATAGCGGGCTAATTTTAGCATATATTTCACAGTAGGGCCATAGTGAAAGTTAATTTTATAAATGAAGAAAGGGGGTCTGGTGCAAAAGTACCACGTGACAATTTTAAATTAAAAACTAACTTGATTCATATCTTTCCACTCTGAAAATTGCAGATCCGAACGCAGTGGTTCTCTACTTAAAAGAGTAGGCGATTTAGCCGCAATCTCGCGGAAACTAAGAATCAGATTTTGAGGATCTACAAAAGATGAAAACATCACGAGATTCCAAATGCAATGAGTCTGTTAGAATAAAGATCGGTTAATCATGTCCCGGATTAAAAAAATTGAAGCTAGTTCAATCTTAAAGGAATGAGAGAAAACAAATTTAGTGTATAAGCTTATAATTTAATTATCGAAGTGAAGTGATTCAACTTACTGGATTCAGATTGAATCATATCTCTTACGACGCTATAGAACCAGAAATCGCGGAAGAGTTTACGTAGACTAACATTAGGATTAGTGATAGGAGGCAATCGACTGAGAAGCTAGTGGAGAAAATTGATTAGACAGTTACGAGAGTTGATATGGGATGCGAAAAACATACTCAAAACACTTACAATAGCGATAACTGGAACCAAGTGATCGATACAGTAGGAAGAAGAGACCTAAAGACGAAATTAACACAATTTATACTGAAGGAGTGTAAAAATGTAATAGTAGGAAGGGAAATAGACTTGCAATGCTACTGTTCTTGAATTCAACTCGGAGTTCAACATCCAACTGGACGAAATGCACCAGAAGGCGTCCGAGAAGGTCGATCAATTCCAACTCACCTTGAATCCATGCGGCCATATTGGCGAGACCGTTTATAACACAGAGAAACATTCGTCTGGAGGGCGAAAAAAAAACAAACTGGTAGACTGAATTCAGATAGCGATAATGAAAACTTAACTGAAGCCATACCCCCCCCCCCTTTAAGAGACTATAGAACAAAGCAACCATAAAGACACAATTTCGTCATATTCCCTTTGGAAACGAAAGCATCCTTATGAATGAATTCATGCATCACTAGACGACGGATAGTGAAGAAGGGCGAGAGGCTCCCATTGCCAACTATGTGAGTCCAACGTACGTGCATGATTTTAAATAAATAAAGGGGGTAAACCACGCGTGCAAGATACCACATGAAACTTCGACGCTATATCTCACAGCCACAAGATAAAAGTACAATTATAAAGCGTTAATGGATGGTATTGACCTAAAGAATGACTCTTACTCACAGCTCATGAAAGAACATGCATTGGCCAAAGGTGGAAGGGTAGATATCAGCCCAATTTAGTCCTGAGCAGGTAATCAATAATAACTCTGTTTGAAGGTATTATTTAGCTTAGACCCAATGAAATTTATAGGAGAAAGGAGCCAAATGTTTTTTTTAAGTTAAAAAGACTACTTTTTGCTTCCCTCCATAAAAATGATGTGGATGATCAAATTACCGTCGAATATCAAGCACAGTGAGCGCGGTTCCATTCAGATAAGATTAGTAGGTTACTTGCGGACCGGCTCCTGAGTGAGGATGACTCATTCTGGCAAAAGGCATTGATAATACAGCTTCCCATCATCCGATTAGCTACGCTCAAACAACTCTTTCCTGCACTGATATTGGCTACTCACCAGGTTAATATCCGCATGGGACCAACTTTCTCCACCTCTCCTTCATTGATCCATTAGTAGTCACACTGTCGAAAAATTTGATCACATCACACTTCACTTCTACATGGGTGACTGTTAGATTTAATGAATTACAACTCGTCATCCATCGTCTTATTTTAGAGTTACCCACGCAGTGTGAAGTGATAAATCAGCTGATTGGTTTACAATGACCCCAGTCCTATCAACTATCATCTCAATTCGCATAGCAAATGCGGAGTTTAAGTCTAATATATAGATATATATATGAGAACCACTTGAATTCCCTCTAAAGTTACATACTTTCAGATGACTGAAATAGATCAATTTTAAGTTATTTAGAAGAGCATTAAACAGCACTTCGTCAAACTATTGCAATACCTGGCAGAAACAGGAGTATAAAATTAGAGATTGGCAACCCCAAAGCTGAAATAAATTATAATTAGTACATTAATTAAACTTACTCGTGCTCTGGACTAGGAACAGGTACAGAAGCGAGACAAAGTTTGGCCGATTTCGCACTTCGATCCATGAAGAGGGCCATAATTTGATGGTACACTGAGGGCTAACCAAATTGACAAAAAAAACACATAATTAGGTCAGATTAGCCAAATAAGCTATTAACGATAATAGCCAAGTGTGATAATAGAATATGTAAAGCGAGTTGGTCTACCTACTTCTATTTAAACTACTAATACCTATTAAGTATTGTGTGGTGCATTTAGAGATTCATCCGAACGATAATTTTAGTTCGGGAACCTTAAGCGACTATTTACATTAGAGCAAATAAGAGGGGAGGAGGGGTGGGGGCGGGGGCGGGGGAGTAAGAGCGAAATATGAAGGAAAGAGATTGAGGAAGTGGAGAGGGAAATTAAGTGAGTACGTTAAAAAGTGACTGATATCGATTCATTTTTGTGAGAGGGTGCTGAGATGGTGAGTGCACTTACAGCATCTTTGTGCACAGGCTCGCTGGGCTAGCAAAAAAGGCAATAATAAAAGCGATTGAGGTAAATAAGTCACAGTATTTATTATTGATTTATAGAATGTTAATGTACCGTGACCATTTACGTCATTTACGCCCCAACATAATGTTCAAGTGTTGTTTTACAAATGTGCCTGAATATAAGAGTCAGTTGATTTGCGAATGTATAGAAATCAGACCGAATGACCGCCATGCAATCGCCCCGATCATTTAAATTAACACAATTGGCTGATTCTAGAAGGTTCTCTGCTTTAATCCTTTAATTAAAGCGAAATGATAACGCGTAGGTTTAAAAGTATGAGAGCAAAGACAGAAGATTTTTATCTCGAAATTCCATTATACCAGAGATCGAGTTGTGGCCTGTATCCTTAAAGGCTCCATCATCACATGATCAGCCTGACTCTAGTACTAATGAATCGCTGTGCAAAAAAAGATGGGAATACTCGATTGCCATAAAGGAAAGCTTTCATTCCCATTAACTTTACCAAAACCATTATCACAGAAACCAATGCTAACTCACTTAAAGGCGAAAAAAGGTATACAACTCAAAATGCCCAAGTTTATAATCCACCTCTAAAAGCATTGCAAGCTGTAATGACACCTGATTTTGGTAGAGGGAAGATAGTGTGAAGCTAAAGTTGGGAGAAATACGGACCCCACCACTATCCTTTTAGGTCAGATTCAACCAATGAAAAGTTGGTCAACCACGTCACTGGATGTGTACTGATGAAAATTTATTCAGTAAGTTCTGATTTCAAAGACTCAATAGGGTGTTCTAATTAATCATCTTACTTCTGGCACATTCGAGTCGACTGGAAAAAGGCCAAACACAGAGATAAAAACTCAGCTAGTCCCACACCCCACTGTCTCACTGTACTCTCTACATATAGAACAGAAAAGTATTCTATTTTAAAAAATTATACCACCTTTCGAAACAAATATTTCAAATGTGTAAACTTATTTATTTATTTCAAATGGAAGGCGTTTTGATAGTTATCATTAGCCCTTTAGCTGACTTCGGGCTTCACAGAGGGAAGGAACGTCAAAGTAATAGAAAGTCGATGGGTGGGGAACAGACACAGAGGCAGAGAAAAGGTAAAATGATTACTGTGGAAGTGGTAGAATATGGCATACAGTGGGGTGATGGTAGCTTGAAGTGAGAAGTCAACTCCCGGTTAATAGACTTTTTTGCCGTATGAGTATACGTTGCCCAGGGTGCACCACGTGGAGGTAAGTCTATTGCACACCCCCATTAAAATACATTGAAGGGTTTGTTTAATAATGCTGCGACAATTGATTGGTGACTGGCTGAGGGGTCTCTGGTT